TAATTCCACTTTAAAGTATATGTGAACCCTCACCATGTAAAACAACCCATTCAGTTGAAAATAGAAACGAAAGGCAAAACATTTGTGAATTGATATAAAAAAACATTCTAAACACCTTTTTTCCCATTTTTTTTATAAGTGATCACATTATCTCTGTTCTCAGCTGCATAAGAAGCTCAGAGAGATGGGGAGTAGAAATAGCAACACACCGGTCTTCCCAGTGAATGGCTGTGTAGGGGGAGCATATCAGGACAAGTCTGATCATTGGAGAACAGCAGGCTGAGTTCTCAGCAGCTAGCTAGAACCATATCATGAATAGGAAATGTTGGGATTTATATTCTTTAAGCTTTGATATGTCTCTTAGCAAAAGTTAATTTAAACATAACAGTGAACAGTGTTGTAACCCGGTTAAAGAAGCAGACAAATAACAAATCTACTGGCAGGATCCACAGGTAGTAAAATTATGTAATAATTATTCAGAAAAGTAAAAACTGCCGGGGGTGATGCTACTGCTACTGATACTGCAGCATATATTTTTTTTTACCATAGTTGCACGTTGTGAATATACACTATATTGCTAAAAGTATTGGTCGGCCTGCCTTTACACACACATGGACTTTAATGGCATCCCAGTCTTAGTCCGTAGGGTTCAATATTGAGTTGGCCCGCCCTTTGCAGCTATAACAGCTTCAACTACTTCTGTGAAGGCTGTCCACAAGGTTTAGGAGGGTGTCTATGGGAAGGTTTGACCATTCTTCCAGAAGCGCATTTGTGAGGTCAGGCACTGATGTCAGATGAGGATACCTGGCTCGCAATCTCCCCTCTAATTCATTCCAAAGGTGTTCTATCGGGTTGAGGTCAGGAATCTGTGCAGGCCAGTCAAGTTCCTCCACCCCAAACTCGCTCATCCATGTCTTTATGGACCTTGCTTTGTGCACTGATGCGCAGTCATGTTGGAACAGGAAGGGACCATCCCCAAACTGTTCCCACAAAGTTGGGTGAGAAATAAAATTGTCCAAAATGTCTTGGTATGCTGACGCCTTAAGAGTTCTCTTCACTGGAACTAAGGGGCCGAGCCCAACCCCTGAAAAACAACCCCACACCATAATCCCCCCTCCACCAAACTTTACACTTGGCACAATGCAGTCAGGCAAGTACCGTTCTCCTGGCAACTGCCAAACCCAAACACGTCCATCGGATTGCCAGACAGAGAAGCGTGATTTGTCACTCCAGAGAACACATCTTCACTGCTCTAGAGTCCAGTGGTGGCGTGCTTTACACCACTGCATCTGACACTTTGCATTGCACTTGGTGATGTAAGGCTTTAATGCAGCTGCTCAGCCATGAAAACCCATTCCATGAAGCTCTCTATGCACTGTTGTGCCAATGTGAAGGCCACATGAAGTTTGGAGGTCTTTAGCTATTGATTCTGCAAACAGTTGGCGACTTCTGCGCACTGTGCGCTTCAGCATGCGCTGAACCCCGCTCTGTCATTTTACGTGGCCTGTGTATATGTGTGTATATATATATATATATATATATGTATATATATATATATGATATGTGAAATTAATGGATGTATTGCTAACAAGTAAGTGGAGTTATTTGTCTGATGCACCTTGTCATAGAAAGAAAACAGTTTGCAAGCATTTCACTGGACCATGTACATGAAGGTGTTACAGGAAGAAAATACAGGAAAATTAATGAGTTAGTCATTCTCTATTGTCTTCTGAAATTCTACTTTTAATGTGTCCTTATTTGCACAGCAATACCTGTTTTATGACCCCCAAAACATAAGTAATGATCAAAATCAAATCTGACTCAAGGATTTTTACATTTTAAGAAAGCACGCACACTTTGGCTAGAAAAAAAAAACCTTTATTTTGGCTCCATATATCCGAATGTATTTTTAACCAAACCAAACCCAACTTTTTAGCTAAAGATAGCTAAGTGGGCAGCAGCAGATACAGATATGTGTTGGCAGAACTGGATGCAGCTGAACTCCAAAATGGTTAAAAAAGCAAAACCATCATTGACCCCTTCTATAGAGGTTTAGGGTCTTAGGGATGAAAGATTTGCAGAAGCAGATTAAACAGTCAGACTAAAGTCAAAACTCCTGATCTGCGTATTCGTTCCAGAGCAGTGACTTCAAAAATATTGACGCCAGTAGAACAACTGTCATTTTCTGATGGAGAGGCAGTTTCTATATTATTATATTATCTCACTAAAAGCTTCTTTTAAGAAAAACAATGCAAAATATTTTGCCAAATTTGCTATTAGCCTGAAGCAGCAGACATCAACCCCTCAACTACAGCCCTTGAAAGCAACAGAGGGCTACCCATATTATTCAATATATGAAATTATTATTATAATACAGGATTTATATTGCACCAACAGTTTGTGCAGCACTTTACATTATAGAGGGAAACAATACAATTCAATACAAAATGGATCGGAGGTCTCTTCTCCTGAGAACTTACAATGTAATGCTACAGAAGACTGTAAGGTGTTAATATGGGTGGCAGCCCTAGTCCTCTGAAATGTGATCTGTGGTGGTTTGTGTTTCAGAGGGTGATTGACGGGTGGCTGGGAGGTGATATCTCACCTCCACAGTTACTGTTTTAACCCTGAAATGCCTTACCAATTCACTTGAATAAGTTACGTTTTGGTGGCGGTACTGCTACAAACTTGTCAGGGGGGGTTAGTTTTTGCTGCAGCATGTGGCTGCCTGTTCTTCTTTAGGCAGGTGGTATGGCGGGGTGCAGTAAGACCACAGATCAGCTGTTTGCTTTTACCGCCCCCATGGCCACCCATGTGAAATGAGGCTTTAGAAACTGCAGGTATGAAAGAAGATTTGGTCAGAGACTGCAGACATGCTATAGGTGTTGTTGATTGTAACCCACATGGAAGAAAAATATATTTGAAGTATAGTTTAAAAATATTCTTCCCAAATATATTGACATATATTTGAAATACTACAATTTTGGCCATATTCAATATATTTCAAAATATATTTCAATAAATATATGCTTAAAATATGCACTGTCACTGTTCTAAGGACACTGGCTGGGAAGGGGTTTAAAAGTCTAGGGCGATCAAAGGGTTAAATGTGTGCCTTACCAGTGTTTTATGTGTGTACTGTGTGCCGATTTCACTAAGCAATGTGCTAGATTCCAGCACATGCCCACTGACAGGACACAGCTCTTGCACTTTTTATATATGCAGAGCTCCGTCCAGTGTGCCCCACCTGGAAGAAAAATATATTTGAGATATATTTTAAAAATATTTCTTCCCAAATATATTGACATTTATTTGAAATGCTAGAATTTTGGCCATATTCAATAAATTTGCAATATATATATAAACTGCATGTTGAAATGCGTTTTTATTACAAAAATATACAAAAAAATGTAAAAAAACATAAATTTTTAAAAATGTTTTAAAACTCAAATCTACATTTTTGTGAATTGCATTTACAAATATATGTTAAAAAAAATATGTTAAAATGAAGTTTTTATAATATGTTAACAAAATCTGAAGAATATATTTAAAATATATATTTTTACAAATAAATTTTTTTTTCATATATTTTGTCATAAAAACACATTTCAGCATACAGTATTTGTAACGTGAAGCATAGGTCAGGACAGAGCACACGGAGAAGATGGGGAACACACAAAACTTGTATTGAAACAACAAATTGACAGACACTCAATAGGAAATGGCAGGGAGGGTGTGTGTGTCGCAAACCAAGGGACCAATTCCAGGCACAAGGGGGGGTTCTTCAGGCAATCTCCCCCCTTTAGGCTGGGGCCCTCAGCCGGGCCTCCCTCCGTGACTGACAGCGGATTGGAGAGACTCGGGCAACAGGCGACAATCTACCCCTGGGCAGGGGCCTCGGGGCAACAGACGGCAACCTACCCCACTGGGCAAGGGGCCAGTCGGGCAACAGAAGGCAATCTACCCCTCAACAGGGGCTATTCGGGCAACAGACGGCAACCTACCACTGGCAGGGGGCCTCGGGCGCTACCGACTGCAACCTACCACCTGGGCAGGAGGCCCTCGGGCAACAGAAGGCCAATTACCCCCTCACACGGGCCTCGGTGAACAGACGGCAACCTACCACTGGGCAGGGGCCTCGGGCAACAGACAGCAACCTACCACTGGGCAGGGGCCTCGTGGGCAACAGACGGCAACCTTAACCACTGGGCAGGGGCCTCGTGGCAACAGGCGGCAATCTAACCCCTGGGGCAGGGGCTTCGGCAACAGACAGCAACCTACCACTGGGCAGGGGCCTCGGGCAACAGAACGTCAACCTACCACTGGGCCAGGGTGGCCTCATGGGCAACAGCCAGCAACCTACCATCTCGGGCATGGGCTCGGGCAACAGACGGCAATCTACCCCTCAACAGGGGCTCGGTCAACAGACAGCAACCTACCACTGGGCAGGGGCCTCGGGCAACATACAGCAACCTACCACTGGACAGGGGCTCGGGCAACAGACGGCAACGGCAATCTACCCCTCAACAGGGGCTCGGGCAACAGACAGCAACCTACCACTGGGCAGGGGCCTCGGGCAACAGACAGCAACCTACCACTGGGGCATGGGCCTCGGGGACTCAACGGGACTCTAGTTGTGGCGGCTGGCCAAAGCAAACAGCTCCCACCCAGCTTTCTAAGGGTCATTGGTGTTCACGGGGACTCAACAGGTAAGCGATGGCTCAAGCAACTCAGGGCACTCACAGGTAGCTATATTGCTGGGCATGCCATCAGGACACGGGTGGTCATCAGTGCACACACAGGCGGGGCGGTTCGGAACACGGGTGGTCGGTGCACAACATCAGGGACAGTTCAGACACGGGTGGTCAGTGCACACAGCAGTAAACAGTTCAGGACACCAGGTGGTCAGTGCACCCAGCGGGACAATTTCAGGACAGGGAGGTCAGTGCGCACAAACAGGAACAGTTTTCAGGACAGGTGTCAGTCAGTGCGCACAACAGGAACAGTTCAGGACACGGGTGGTCAGTGTGCACGCAACAGGAACAGTTCAGGACACAGGTGGTCAGTGCACCCAGCGGGGAAAATTCAGGCACGGGTGGTCCGTGAGCACAACAGGAACAGTTCAGGACACAGGTGGGTCAGTGCGCACAAACAGTAACAGTTCAGGACACAGGTGGTCAGTGGCGCCACAACAGGAACAGTTCAGGGCACTCACGGGGTAAGCAGCTTGCAGACCCTCAGCGGCAGGCGGCTCCAGACAGGGATGGACCAGCGGTCAGCGTTCCAGGGACAACCAGCGATCAGCAGACAGTAAGCAGCTTCCCAGGGCACTCAGCAGAAGACAGCCTCCAGGGACACGCAGCCACGATAGTATGCAGGCCCCCTCAGCAACAACTCCCAGGGGCACTCAGCAGCAGACAGGGTGCAAGGGGTGCTCAGTAGACAGTCTTACAGACTGGCAGGGTCTCAGTTGTGGGGTCTGACCTTTGAGGAGAAGGCTCATGCAGAGCTGTGGAGACTCCCAAACACCGAGGTATTGCAGAGGGTCTACAGTCCTGACTTTTGGGGGTCTTGCAGAGCGCGCAGGGGGGATGGCTGGGGAGACTCGGTCCCCCCTCAACCCGAGCCTCCCAGCATCTTTTCTGGGAGCAGGATGATTCTACTCACATGGCCAGGAACAAAAAGGGAAGGCTGCTTCCTGTGTGGGTCTCTTGAAGATCATGTGGGACGCGGCTAGGTTTGCCTCGGCAACGGCTGGCCCAGCCCCAGTCCATGGAAGCCCCACAGACCTTCTAATGTATAAGGGGGAAGGGAGGGGTGGAGGAATATGGCAGGGGGATGGGAGAGGCACTGGGCAGTCCGTGACAACTATATATATATTTATTGAAATATAATGAATATGGCCAAAATTGTAGTATTTCAAATATATGTCAATATATTTGGGAAGAATTATTTTTAAAAATATATATTTCAAATATATTTTTCCTTCCATATGGGAAACCAGCTGCAGAAGGTAGTCATAGACTGGGGACCATCTACAGCACCTTTGTAAATCAATTCCCTCACTATTGGGCTCTGCAAAAGGACACAATGCAAATACCAAAGAGCCGCAATTTGGGCATCAGGGGTATAAAAGGATGCCAGGGTGCATTATAATAGGCCCTGAACCCATATAAGACCCTGAACCCATTTAAGGACTAAACATGCATTCACAAATATTATATAAAGTAATGTGTAAAAAAATACAAATCATTGGGCAGCATTTTTATTAGCATGGGAAGATAAATAGGTGGAACCGGACACGTTGCAGAAAAGTAAGCATTTCTTCCATCTAATTTTTGTTAAAAAGTTCCAATGTATTTTGGAAAGCCTGGCATGTACAGTACAGTAGGCTTGTATAGGATCAGTGAGAAGAAGGCAACTAAGTTAAGAGTCACTTCCATTGTGACTGCTCAAGAAGCAGCAGGGGAAATAGTTAATGCAGCATAACAGAGGGTCTAGGGCAGTGTTCTCAACCTTCCTAATGCCGTGACCCTTTAATAACAGTTCTCATGTTGTGGTGACCCCCAACCATAAAATTATTTATCCAGTAATTATAATTCATGAGTGTAGTTTTACCTCCAATACTGCTGCTTTCAACACAGTAGCTGCTTTCAACACAGTAGCTGCTTTCAACACAGCAGCTGCTTTCTACACAGTAGCTGCTCTTTACACATCGGAAATATGTGTTTTCTGATGGTCTTAGGTGACCCCTGTGAAAGGGTCGTTCAACCCCCAAAGGGGTCGCGACCCACAGGTTGAGAACCACTGGTCTAGGGTCTCTTTGCAGCAGGTACGAGGGCAAATGCAGCACCCTACAGGTCCCATGTGCAGCCATTGATTTACTGGGTGTGTAGCTCTTCTCAGCCCATATCCCCTTAACATTAGAAGAACCTGTAAGTGGGAGCAACAGCCCCTTGCACCAATAATGAAGATCAGAAGTTGTTTCATATGCACCCTATGCAAATGTCATAGTAAAAATATACTTTTACATATTAAAAAAAAAATCAACATTTCAAATTTACACACCTAGCATCCATTATGAAGCATCCATTAAAAAAAAAAGCTAAGTTTATCTCCACCTGACAAAGCAGTAAATTGTTAAAGCAGTATCCAAAACCCAATGGCAAACGTGGTTTATTGCGGCTTACCAAACTTTAAATGTGGTGGCTGTATTAGTTTTCTTTTCTAGGATTTTTTTTCTTTCATTTAAACCTGGTGATCCTGCCAGTAACCCCTGGTTTACATATCTGCAGCAGTGTGGGCCGCGTTTTGCGTGGACATGAGAGCCCATTCATTTGAATGGACTCCCGTGCCCCTGGGACACGCAGGGAAGAAGTACCTGCACTTCTTTGGAAACCGCAGCCCGCACGGGAACAGAGGTTCTCAGTACGGTTGCATTTTCCGGTGCGGGGGCGGCATGCTATTATTTATTATTATTATTATACAGTATTTATAAAGCGCCAAAGGGTTTGCTCAGCGCTGTACAGTAGCAAGGAGGACAGAACATGAGACAAGACAGTAACAATACAATACACGAGGGTTCGAGGGCCCTGCTCTTTCGAGCTTACAATCTAGGAGGGAGGGGAAAGTGGTACAGGAGGAAGTGGCTGTGGGGGATGGAGTGGTGGGAGAAATGGAGATCAGTTGTTAGGTGAGGGTGAGGTAGGCTTCCCTGAAGAGATGGGTTTTCAGGGTGCGCCTGAAGGTGAGGAGGGTAGGTGACAGTCTAATGGATTGGAGTAGGGAGTTCCAGAGGAATGAGGGAAGTCCTGGAGAAGTCCTGCAATCGGGCATAGGAGGAGGAGACCAGGGAGCTAGAAAGTAGGAGGTCCTGTGAGGAGCGAAGGGCATTAGACTTAATGGCATCCACCCGGGGGTCCTTCATTGCTCTGTGCGGGTGGTGCGGCTGCAGGCATTATTGTGCGGGTCCCGCAGCTGCACCACCCGTACATATGTGAACCTAGCCTAAAACTGGCTGGTTAAAAAACAGATTCCTACATCCATGGTATACATTATATTATTATTATGGTATACAGCACAGACTGGCAAATCTCCCACTGCAGCTATTGTATTCCCAAACAGTGTCTCATTTGATAAGGCTGAAATTCGTTCAGTGTATGGTGAGCTTAAACCTGGTCATAGATAGAACAAAATTATGCCAGGTCGATTTCTGGTAGCCATTTTTGGTTTAACCACATGACCTCCATAAGATTTACCCCCCTTTCATGACCAGGCCATGTTTTCCTTTTTGGCACTGCGTTAATTGCGCATGCAACACTGTACATAAATTAAATTTATATCAATTTTTTCCCACTAGTAGAGCTTTCTTTTGGTGGTATTTGATCACCACTGGGTTTTTTATTTTTGAAAAATGTTGAAAAAAACAATATTTTTTACTTTCTGCTATCAAGCATATCCTGTAAAAAAATTTAAAAAGATCAAATTTCTTCATAAATTTAGACCATTATGTATTCTGTTCCATATTTTTTTGTGAAAAAAAAAATCCCAATAAGTGTATATTGATTGTTTTTTTTTCAAAAGTTATGGCATCTACAAACTACAGTATACTGGAATTTTTTTTTTAATACTAGTAATGGCGTTGATCAGAGAATTATAGCGGGACTTCATTATTACGGTGGACATTCTTACACTAACTGACACTTTGTGGGACCAGTTACACTAATACAGTGATCAATGCTAAAAATATGCACTGTCACTGTACTAAGGACACTGGCTGTGAAGGGGTTAAAGTCTAGGGCGATCAAAGGGTTAAATGTGTGCCTAAGCAGTGTTTATGTGTGTACTGTGTGCCGATTTCACTAAGGAATGTGCTCGATTTTATTTCCTGCTTTGCATGGAAACAAAATGCAGCACATCCCCACTGACAGGACAGAGCTCTGCACTTTTTATGTATGCAGAGCTCCGTCCAGTGTGTCCCACATGGAAGAAAAATATAGTTGAAATATATATATATACAAATATATGTAAAAAGATATGTTAAAATTACTTTTTCATATGTTAAAAAAAATCTGAAGAATATATTTAAGAAAAATATATTTTTAAAAATATATTTTTTTAAAATGTATTCTTCAGATATTTTTTAACATATAAAAAAGTCATTTTATATTTTTACATATATCTGTAAATGCATTCCAAAAATGTAGATTTGTATTTTTAAAGACATACAATATATTTGAAATGTATTTTTCATATATTTTGTAATAAAAAAACGCATTTCAACATGCTGTGTGTGTGTATATATATATATATATTTTGTGTATATATATATATATATATTTATTGAAATATATTGAATACGGCCAAAATTATAGCATTTCAAATATATGTCAATATATTTGGGAAGAATATTTTTTAAAATATATATTCTTCCATATGGGGTCTTCTCACTGATCAGCAGGTGTCTGTGCTTATCTATTGGTTGTCACCTGCTGATCGGCGTCTGCTGAGATTAATCACAGTACAGCCAACATGCCAGCCGCGCGTGCAAGTGCTCTCTACCTGGAGATGTTTGATCATATACTGGGTACATGATCCAGCCCAAGAGCACCACTCTGCCACCGTACTCCTACATATCGGGGGACGTGGCTGGAGCTGCACTGACTGAGGCCACACTGATCCACATATTCATGCACTGAGTCGGCGAGCAGTGCTCTTTCCTTTCTCTGATGAAAATTCTATCCTATTCTTTAAATTTGTCACTATGGTCAGAAATGTGTTCTTAATATCAAAATTTTCTAATGAAAGTCTACTGGTATATAGCCGGCTTTAGTCATAAAGGGAAACAGAGCAGTAGTAGGTAAGTAAGTCAGGTAAGCCGGAAGTTTGTTGTTTATTGCAGGGAGAAGCTGATATCAGGGGCAAAGCTGATGGCAGCAGAAAGGGGCCAGCATATCTATATCTAAGCATCGGACACTCCAAGAAGTCAAGGACACCTATTACATTTTGATCACTGATTTTAAGATATACAGATAGCAATTGACAAAAAAAAATGTAGAGCAGAAGTTTTTTACTCATTTATATTTACTGTTTGCATGGAGTAATTCAGAAACTTTGATCGGATGGCCTTTTTACGTGGGGGACGATTAATGGTGCTAAACCAGTAGAATGTTGGCAATCACAAAAAAAAAACATTTTACAAATTCCACAAATACTCATGAATGGCAATAAATATGCAGACGTAATTCTATCTTCTACTACAACAACAGAAAATCTTGATGAATAGAAAATAGTGAACTTTATTATGTGCACGTAAGAAAACAAAAATGCAGTATATGAGCCTTCAGGACTGCATTTCTACTGTACATCCTGAATCACTTGATCTCCAAACTATAGCACGGCATCCTATACCGACCCCCTCCCCATACACACCTTTCTTGGATAAAACTAGTTAAAGCCAAGACATAACTGAAATATGTTTTGGGGCGTGGCCCTTCATTAGACATAACTGAGAAAGAGCCACACCCTGAAACACTGCACACTTATGTCATGCTATGCTTTGCAATAAATGGGATATTTCCTGATGGTTGACCTCTAGATGGTCCCTTGTTTCCAGGTATCCCTTTTCCATTTTCGGTACCTAAATGATACACCTTTAAGATATCAGTTGGATTTTTGTGCCAAGATCAGCCAAGGACTGGTTGGACAGTGGTCAACTGCTGGCTACTAATATGCCTCCAGGACTTTCCAAAAATCCTGACTATGCCCATCATTGATTATGAGATAGGACCCATTGTTGAGTTTCACATATACAGAATTCAATAGGAGAGAATCTGACTACTTTGCTAAGCTTATAGACAAAACAACAGATTTGTTCGCGAATGGGATGGTTTGGCAAATGATTCAAGCTTTGAGTTCTGCTGCTTGGATCCCAGAGAGACAGAAGCAGACCATTGTTTACTTTGACAGCAATCACCCATCAATGAAACATCCCTTTTCAAGCAGACATTTATTCTCTTATTCCACAAACAATTGTCCATTAATTTTATACTGCCTAGTAAGACTCATCTGCATTTACTGGCCCATCTTCCCATTTCTTGCTCTACTACTACACCAGAGTATGTGCTAGAGGCAGTTGTCTATCTACAAATAAATTAATACATAAAATAACCTAATCCAGTGGTGCTCAACTTCTTTAATCATGGCCTACTAAACAGTGCATTTTTTGCCCACTATCAGGTAAGGGCATTAGTTAGTGTAACAAATCTTACACATTCAAGTTCAAAAAGAACTAAAAAAATATATACTCTTTTTTTGGCACATTCATTATGCCAATAAATAGCCCATTTATTTAGAAAGGCCTCTACATATGCTTCAATGCATGAAATAAATTCACCAATACGACTCGATGGTGCATATGCTCATTTTGCTACTGCATATGTGTTGGGTTGCCACTTAAAATTAATTGCAGCACACTGCGATGCACATATACCCATGTGTTATTGTGCTTTGTGCTAACACATGTTAAAACCTGCATTTTAGCACAGTTACGGCAACGCAAGATTATTATGTGCCCTAAAGGGCTCTTAAGTGCTGAAGTTGAGCACCACTGGCCTAATCCACGCTACTGTTTCTTGAATGTGGAGGATAATGTTACAGGGGTAAAAGGCCCTGCCCTACTAAAGATCTTCAAGAATGGCTACTAGTGCTCTCATCTGGCTCTCTCTTGGTCTTGACAGCTGTCTCTGAGGTTCCCCGGGTTTCACCTTCATGGGTCTTCATGTGCTTGGTCAGATGATCACTCCGCATGAAGACACGGCTACAGGAAGGACAAGGATATTTTTTTTGCCCCAGTATGGGTCTGTAGATGCCTTTGTAGCTCATCGCTTCTAGTGAACCTCTTCCCACAGAACAGCCAGTTGCAGACAAAGGGACGATCTCCACTGTGCCAGCGCAAATGAGCCTTCAAATGAGACGTCTTGGCATATGCCTTTCCACAGCCAGGTATGTGGCAGTTATGCATAATTTTGCGCTTTGCTATATCACTATTTGAGCCAACTCTTTCTGCCTCTTGGCAGTTGGGGCAACGGCAAGCAGCTTGAGCAGCACTGCGTGGCATGGCTCGCCTTGCACCCTTTGGACGAGGAGAAGCATCTGAATTGGGATCAGCAGCATGAGGTTCCATTGTTGCATCCAAATTTCCCATAAGATGGGGTGCAGGAGTCAGCATATGTGTAGGAGGAATGCAAAGGTCAGAGCCATATCCTCCTAGAGGGGCTTGGTGGGGTGAAGGAGTTGTAAAGCCTCCTGAGCTAGGTTGCATATCCATCCAGCTGGATCCAGCATGAAGATCCCACCATGAAGGAACCCCACTCTCCTCCCCAGGGCCTCCAGGGGCTGGAGGTCTCATCCATGACTCATATGGATGAGGATGAACATTTCAAGTGGTGGGTGCAGAAATTTGGTGAATGATGTGGTTTCTGAGGACTCCCGTCCTGCAAAAGTTTGATATGGCAGTCGTACAGAGGACAGTGATGTATACCTCTCAGCGGAGGAATAGGTTGAGTCTTGAGCAGTGTCCTCATGAAGAGGCAGACTGGGGTCAGCTTCTGAAGGGATGGTATATGGTTTTAAGGGGAGTTCAGAGGTGGATGGAGATCCAGGAGCCTCTGATGGTTGGTTTCCCAGAGAGCTACATACAGCAGTCAGCATTGCAGAGAAGGTTGTGTAGACAAGGGTGTTCTGTAAAAAAAAAGAGAACAAAGTTAGAAATAAAGTATAAGTAATACATTCTCTCACTTGTTTTATAAAAAATGTATTTCCCTTTCACATGTAGCCAGTTGTGTGTTTTTAAATCTTTATATGAGTGGCATATTGATAGATATAAAAGATTTCAGAACATTTTTGATTGAATATTGGTTATTTTGTTCACTCGATTCCACTACTACATCTTTTATATTTGATCATACCCTGTAAAAATCCACATGCTAAAAATTATGTTTGGGCATATACCTTGCTAAATTTCTCAAGGGCAGTTCTTTAGATTTCCCTTCACCCCATATACCCCCAAAACTCCTGGGGGTTGCTTATTCTAAAGAGTGAAGTGTTGTGAAATTAGGTAAAGAGAATTGAACCCTTATGTTCCTCCTATGGTGCTGTCTGTAGCTGAATCATTCAATTTTCCTTTGGTCATGTTTATACTGCAATATTACTCCTCACCTCTGCATTAAAACAGTTACTCTGTCCCTTTGTGGTCTTGAACCCTTTACGTTCGTCCTGTGGTGCTGTGTGTAGCAGAGTAACACCCCCTTTGTTTGATCATGTTTACACTATATTATTATGCCTTACTTCTGCAATAAAACCCCCACTTGGGCCCTGTTTGCTTTTGAACTGTTATGTTCCTCCTATGGTGATGTGTGCATCAGAATCACGCCACCTTCCTTTGGTTGTGTTTACATTGCAATCTTACTCTCCACCACTGCATTAAAGCCAGTTCTTGGACCCTGTGTGCTCTTGAACACTTATGTTCTTCATATAGTTCTGTGTGTAGCGGAATATTACCACCTTCTTTGGTCTTGTTTACAGTAGAATGTTACTCTCCACCACTGCATTAAAACATCTACTTGGTTCCTGTATGCTCTTGAACCCTTATATTCCCCCTATTTTACCATCTTCCTTTCGGTCATGTTTACTCTAATATGTTATTCTCAGCTCTGTATTAAAACCCTACATGGGCCCTTAGTGATCTTGAACCCTTATGTTTCGCCTTGATGCTGTGTGCAGCAGAATCATGCCATCTTCCTTTGGTCATGTTTACACTGCAAAATTACTCTTTAACTGTAAATTAAAAATCCCTACATGGGCCATGTGTACTTTAAACCCTTATGTTCCTCCTATGGTGCTGTCTGGAGCAGAATAATACCATCTCCTTTGGTCATGTTTACATTAGAATATTACTCCTCACCTCTAAATTAAAACAGTTACTTGATCCCTTTGTAGTCCTGAACACTTATGTTCCATATATGGTGCTCTGTGTAGTCATACCACCTTCCTTTGGTCATTTTTACACTAAATTATTCCCCACCTCTGCATTAAAACCCCTACTTGGTCCCTGCATGCTCTGTTAACCTTTATGTTCCTCCTATGCTACTCTCTAGAACAGTGGTTCTCAACCTTTCTAGCGCCGCGACCCCTTAATACAGTTCCTCATGTTGTGGTGACCCCCAACCATAAAATTATTTTCGTTGCTACTTCATAACTGTAATTTTGCAGTAGGAGGAATAGTGCCACGTCATTGGTGTCATTGGGAGGAATAGTGCCCCATCATTGGTATCAGTGGGAGGAATAGTGCCCCGTCATTGGTGTCAGTGGGAGGAATAGTGCCCCCGTCATTGGTGTCAGTGGGAGGAATAGTGCCCCGTCATTGGTGTCAGTGGGAGGAATAGTGCCCCGTCATTGGTGTCAGTGGGAGGAATAGTGCCCCGTCATTGGTGTCAGTGGGAGGAATAGTGCCCCGTCATTGGTGTCAGTGGGAGGAATAGTGCCCCGTCATTGGTATCAGTGGTAGGAATAGTGCCCCGTCATTGGTGTCAGTGGGAGGAATAGTGCCTCGTCATTGGTGTCAGTGGGAGGAATAGTGCCCCGTCATTGGTATCAGTGGGAGGAATAGTGCCCCATCATTGGTGTCAGTGTGAGGAATAGTGTCCCATCATTGGTGTCAGTGGGAGGAATAGTGCCCCATCATTGGTATCAGTGGGAGGAATAGTGCCTCATCATTGGTATCAGTGGGAGGAATAGTGCCCCATCATTGGTGTCAGTGGGGGGGAATAGTGCCCCATCATTGGTATCAGTGGGAGGAATAGTGTCACATCATTGGTATCAGTGGGAGGAATAGTGCCCGATCATTGGTGTCAGTGGGAGGAATAGTGCCCCGTCATTGGTATCAGTGGAAGGAATAGTGCCCCGTCATTGGTATCAGTGGGAGGAATAGTGCCCCCCGTCATTGGTGTCAGTGGGAGGAATAGTGCCTCGTCATCGGTGTCACTGGCAGGAATAGTGCCTCGTCATCGGTATCAGTGTGAGGAATAGTGCCCCGTCATCGGTATCAGTGGGAGGAATAGTGCCCCATCATCGGTGTCAGTGGGAGGAATAGTGCCCCATCATCGGCACTATTCAGTCAGTGGGAGGAATAGTGCCCCCTGATACCGATGACGAGGCACTATTCCTGCCAGTGACACCGATGACGAGGCACTATTCCTCCCACTGACACCAATGACGGGGCACTATTCCTCAAGCTCATCCTCTCCAAAACCGAGCTCCTCATCTTTCCCCCTGCCAACACCCCCCCCCCCCCATCCTATCCATCATCGCCAACAACTCCACTATCACTCCCGCCCCGCAAGCCAAAGTCCTTGGCGTCATTCTTGACGCGAACCTCTCCCTCCCCCCCAACCGCATGTCAAATCACTCACAAACACATGCAGGCTCCATCTTCGCAACATTGCCAAGATACGCTCCTTCCTCACCCCAGACACCACCAAACTTCTAGTACACTCCCTCATCATCTCACGCCTTGACTACTGCAACTCCCTCCTCACTGGCCTACCCAAGTGCAGGCTCTCCCCGCTCCAGACCATCCTGAACTCAGCTGCCAGACTCATCCACCTCACCACCCGCTCCACCTCTGCCACCCTTCTCTGCCTCTCCCTCCACTGGCTCCCGATTGCCCAACGCATCAAATTTAAACTCCTAACCCTGTCCTACAAAGCCGTTCACAACACTGCCCCTGACTACCTCACCAACCTGATAACCAAGTACCACCCTACCCGTACCCTTCGCTCCTCACAGGACCTCCTTCTATCCTGCTCCCTGGTCTCCTCCTCCCATGCACGACTGCAGGACTTCTCCAGGTCCTCCCCCATCCTCTGGAACTCACTGCCCCATCCATCAGACTGTCGCCTTCCCTATTCACATTCAGGCGCTCCCTCAAAACCCATCTCTTCAGGGAAGCCTACCCCACCCTCACCTAACGGCCATCCTCCCTCATTCCTCCCACCACTTCATCCCCCTCAGCCACTTCCTACTGTACCTTTACCCCCTCCCTCCTAGATTGTAAGCTCGTAAGAGTAGGGCCCTCTTACCCCTCGTACGTTGTTTGTTGTTGTTGTACTGTGCCATGTATTGTCCCCCCTATTGTACAGCGCTGAGCAAACCCTTTGGCGCTATATAAAACTCGTAGTAATAATAATAATAATAATCGGTGTCAGTGGGAGGAATAGTGCCCCATCATCGGTATCAGTGGGAGGAATAGTGCCCCATCATCGGTATCAGTGGGAGGAATAGTGCCCCATCATCGGTGTCAGTGGGAGGAATAGTGCCCCATCATCGGTGTCAGTGGGAGGAATAGTGCCTCATCATTGGTATCAGTGGGAGGAATAGTGCCCCATCATTGGTATCAGTGGGAGGAATAGTGCCCCATCATTGCTGTCAGTGGGAGGAATAGTGCCCCATCATTGGTGTCAGTGGGAGGAGGAATAGTGCCCCATCATTGGTGTCAGTGGGGGGAGGAATAGTGCCCCATCATAGGTGTCAGTGGGGGGAATAGTGCCCCATCATTGGTGTCAGTGGGGGGAATAGTGCCCCATCATAGGTGTCAGTGGGGGGAATAGTGCCCCATCATAGGTGTCAGTGGGGGGAGGAATAGTGCCCCATCCTTGGTGTCAGTGGGGGGAGGAATAGTGCCCCATCCTTGGTGTCAGTGGGGAGGTGGGGGGAGGAATAGTGCCCCATCCTTGGTGTCAGTGGGGGGAGGAATAGTGCCCCATCCTTGGTGTCAGTGGGGGGAGGAATAGTGCCCCATCCTTGGTGTCAGTGGGGGGAGGAATTGTGCCCCATCGTTGGTGTCAGTGGGGGGAGGAATCGTGCCCCATCCTTGGTGTCAGTGGGGGAGGAATAGTGCCCCATCGTTGGTGTCATTTGGGGGAGGAATAGTGCCCCATCGTTGGTGTCAGTGGGAGGAATAGTGCCCCATCATTGGTGTCAGTGGGAGGAATAGTGTCCCATCGTTGGTGTCAGTGGGAGGAATAGTGCCCCATCATTGGTATTAGTGACACCAATGATGGGGCACTATTCCCACTGACACCAATGATACTTACCTTGCAGACCCCTGCTCCAGCCTGGGCTCGCTCGCTCCCTCCCTCTCCCATGGTACCGACGACACCTGTCAGATGTCTTCCTTCTCCGGCCGCTCTCCTCCTCTTCACTCGCTCGATCTTCGCGGTGCCGCTCGGCTCCTCCTCTCCAAGCTCCACCTCCTTGCCGGTGATTGGCCGCCTGTGTGCCTCTCCTGAGCTACAGTGCCGGCGGCCAATCACAGGCGAGGATTGATCTCGAGGTGTGTCCAGATGACAGGGGCGGCATGTCATCCCGCCCACACCTGGAGACGGCGGTGGCGAGGAGCGGTGTCTCGGTTCCTAAGACCATCGGAAATATGTGTTTTCCGATGGTCTTAGGCGACCCCTGTGGAAGCGTCGTTCGACCCCCAAAGGGGTCGCGACCCCCAGGTTGAGAACCGCTGCTCTAGAAGAAGGGATGCCCTTCGAAAACGCGTTCTGAGTGTCTACTCCTATGATGGGACTCGCGCAGGCTGATTAATGTTCAAGTCCCTTTGAGGACTTACATGCTTGAATTACTTCGCTGTTTGTGAGTATCATTTTGTATTGAATTTGGTTATTGAGGTAATGCGCAAGGTTGGTGCGCTTTTTGTTTCGTTTCGCTTTGCTGTATTTACACTAGGTGTCAAACTCCATTTCACCGCGGGCCCTATCAGCACTATGGTTGCCTTCAAAGGGCCAGTTGTATCTGTAAGACTAGATGTCCAGAGCACCCAACCCCCCATTACATCAGATGTCAAGAATCCCACACCATCCCTAACATCACCGTGCACCCCCTTTGGGGGAAGAGCTGAAAAGCAGAATGTGCAGGGTCTGGAGGAGGACTAGAGGAGTGGAGTCAGTTACAAGAGTCTGCTGAATGCTGAGACCAGGGGAGTAAAAGATGAGGGGGTGCGTGGATGAGGAGGATTTGACAGATTTGTTCTTTTCTCCTCTGTGCTGCTGAGGGCCGTATTCGGCCCGCGGGCCTTGTGTTTGACACCTGTGCACTAGAATATCACTCTCCACTAGGGATGCACCTCGTTGCTGATACCGAATATTTTCATGAGTACTTGTACTTGTGAAAATACTCCCAATAACTGATATTTTGTGGTGTGATTTACGTTAATGGACACAAATTGCACCACAAAGATTAGCATGCAATTCCTGTCCAAATCGAATGCGGATTCCCCACTGCTCCTGTGTGAACCCAGGCTTACCATAGCCCGAGTTCACACAGGAGCAGTGTGGGAAACTTCCATGCAGGCATCACTTGCTGAGTGTCAATGGTAGTAGGAGAGGAGAGAAAATCCCCCTCCGCTTTCTTTCCTCTCCTTGCAGTGATGACAGTTCTGGACCAATCAGCTGACCAACTAAATGCCGTCTAGCCTGAACTGTCATCGCTGCAAGGAGAGGATAGAAACTGGTGGGGGGTTCAAAGCTGGCAGTTCTTGACCCCAGCTTTGTTCCTGACCAAGTTTCTGCCTTATGATTCTGTACCTCACTGCCTGCCTGCTGCTGACCTCGGCTATTCCGGCGACCACTCTTCTGTGCCTGGTTCTGTTCACAAATCTGGATGAGTGCCTACCTGGTTGCTACAGTGCATCCAGAAAGTATTCACAGCACTTAACTTTTGCCACATTTTGTTATGTTACAGCCTTATTCCAAAATGGATTAACATAATTTTTTCCCCAATATTCTACAAACAATACTCCATAATGACAACGTGAAAAAAGTTTGTTTTGAAATCTTTGCAATTCATTAAAAATAAAAAACAAAACAAAAATATACATAAGTATTCCCATCCTTTGCTCAGTACTTTGTTGAAGCACCTTTAGCACCAATTTCAGCCTCAAGTTGTTTTGAGTATGATGCTACAAGCTTGGCACACCTATTTTTGGGAAATTTCTCCCATTCTTCTTTGCAGTACCTCTCAAGCTCCATTAGGTTGGATGGGGAGCGTTGGTGCACAGCCATGTTCAGATCTCTCCAGAGATGTTCAATCGGGTTCAAGTCTGGGCTTTGGCTGGGCTATCCGTGACATTCACAGAATTAGCCCGTAGCCACTCCTTTGTTATGTGGGCTGTGTGCTTAGGGTTGTCCTGTTGAAAGATGAACCGTCGCCCCATTCTAAAGTTCAGAGTGCTCTGGAACAGGCTTTCATCAAGGATGTCTCTGTACATTGCTGCATTCATCTTTCCTTTGATCCTGACTAATCTCCCAGTTCCTGCCACTGAAAAATATCCCCACAGCATGATGCTGCCACCACCATGATTCACTGTAGGGATGGTACTGGCCAGGTGGTGAGCGGTGCCTGGTTTCCTCCAGAAATGACGCTTGGCATTCAGGTCAAGAATTCAATCTTTGTTTTATCAGACCAAAGAATTTTGTTTCTCATGGTCTGAGAGTCCATCAGGCGCCTTTTGGCAAACTCCAGGCGGGCTGCCATTTGCCTTTTACTGAGGAGTGGCTTCCGTCTGGCAACTCTACAACAGGGCTGATTGATGGAGTGCTGCAGAGATGGTTGTTCTTCTGGAAGGTTCTCCTTCCTCCACAGAGAAACGCTGGAGCTCTTTCAGAGTGACCATAAGGTGCTTGGTTACCTCCCTGGCTAAGGCCCTTCTCCCTCAATGGCTCATCTTGGCCGGGCAGCCCGCTCTAGGAAGATTACTGGTGGTTCCAAACTCCTTCGATTTATGGATGATGGAGGCCACTGTGCTCATTGGGACCTTCAATGCTGCAGAAATGTTTGTGTACCCTTCCCCAGATCTGTGCCCTGATTACAATTCTGTCTACAGACAATTCCTTGGACTTCATGGCTTGGTTTGTGCTCTGACATGCACTGTTAACTGTGAGACCTTATATAGACAGGTTTATGCCTTTCCTAATCATGTCCCACAGGTGGACACCAATCAGGTTGTGGAAACATCTCAAGGATGATCAGTGGGAACAGGATGCACCAGAGCTCAATTTTGAATGTCATGGCAAAGGCTGTGAATACTTATGTACATGTGTTTTTTGTTCTTTTTTTTTATTAAATTGCAAAGATTCCAAAACGAACTTTTTTCCCGTTGTCATTATGGGGTATTGTTTGTAGAATGTTGAGGGAAAAAAAATGTAATACATTTTGAAATAAGGCTGTAACATAACAAAATGTGCCAAAAGGTAAGTGCTGTGAATACTTTCTGGATGCACTGTATCTGTACCAGCTCTGCTCACCACAGTATATTCCTGTCTCAAGTCTGCTGGGAGCTCTGACAAGCCTCGCATCTGTAACCTGCAGCCCAGGTGGAGTGTCCCTTTAAATTTGGCTGGATCTCTGTGCTCAGTTACTGTTCCTGACCTGATGTTCTGCCAGCCTGCCTGGGACTACATCATCTGCTGCAAGCACTCCTATCAACACCTGCTGGCACTGCTGTTCCTCCTGTCCCTCAGAACCCTCTGTAACACCTTCAGTGGGAGATGGGTTGGTGACACAAAAGAGGCCAACATCGTAATTTCAGTCTCCGATCAGGTACATGATAAGTGCCCACCATCCAGGCTCCTACAACCTACACTCCTAGGCTGTTCTTGGGTCCTGTGTCATTTTGAAGCCTTATGATCTTCATATAGTTCTATGTGTAGCAGAATCATACCATCTTTCCTTGGTCATGCTTATGCTAGGATATTACTCCCCACCCCTGCATTAAAACTCCTAATTGGGCCCTGTGTGCTCTGGAACCCTTAAGTTCCTCCTATGGTGCTATGTGTAATGGAATAATGTCACCATAGAATATTACTCACCACTTCTTCATTAAAAACCCATATTTGGGCCCTATGTGATCTTAAACTCTCTTAATTCTCCGTTGATGCTGTGTGTAGCATAATAATACCACCTTCTTTTGGTTGTGTTTATACTAGAACAGAGGTCTCTAAACTATGACCCTCCAGGTGTTGAGGAACTACAAGTCCCATGAGGCCTTGCAAGACTCTGACAGCCCAAGGCAAGACTCGCAGAGGCATGACAAGACTTGGAGTACTTCAACAGCTTAAGGGCCATAGTTTGGAGACCCCTGTACTAGAATATTACTCCTTAATTCTGCAATAAATCCTCTACTTGGGCCTTGTATGGGCAAGTGAACCTTTTTCTTTCAAAAGTCTTGTGTCTAGTGATGTCCTTGATGTTTGAGTCGAATGTAAGTTGGACTCAAACATTGGCCGTTCGTGTGTTTGGTGATCACACGAACAGTAAGGGCATTCGGCAGGCTGTTCACTCACCGCGCCCCCCAATGCACTGCACCCTGACAGTGCATTGTGATTGGCCAAACCACTGCACCTGACCACGTCAGGTGCAGTGGTTTGGCCAAACACAGCACAATTGGGCGGAGCTAGCAGTGACATCACCACTAGCTCCACCCAATTGTTTACATCTGGAGAGTCATCGTCGTTGTGACAGTGCGGGATGCCGTGGTTGACGATGGAACCATTTTTGGGGTTTTTTGGGGGGGGATTTTACATAAAGTACTGTTGTGTTTTTATTCACATTTTACACTTTTTTAATGAATGGGTAGGAGTACTATGTACTCATTCACAAGGGGGGGGACTGGGGTCTGGGGGCCTCCCATGTTAAAGGAGGCTTCCAGATTCCGATAAGTCACCCCCCACAGACCCCCACAACCACAGCCCAGGGTTGTGAGGAAGAGGCCCTTGTCCCCATCAACATAGGGACAAGGTGCATTGGGGGGTGGGAGCCCTCCGTACCCCAAAGCACCACCCCCATGTTGAGGGCATATGGCCTGGTATGGTTCAGGAGGGGGGGATGCTCACTCGTCCTCCCCCTTTCCTGGCCTGCCAGGCCTGTGCTCGGATAAAGGATCTGGTAGGAATTTGAGGGGGGACCCCCACGCTTTTCCCCCCTATTTTTTGGGAATGGGGTTGCCCTTAAAATCCCTACCAGGCCTAAAGGGGTCCCTCCCAACCTTCCTACCAGACCTAACGGGTCTGGTATGGATTGAGGG